TGTGTCAGGTGGTGAAGGCTTTAATGACAAAGCGTTGAGATATTCACGCCATGTAACACAACAACGAGCCCTACTGTGGACATAACGGCAATGTTGTGTCCATACCGTAGCAGCGAGACCTCCCGCGTGCCCGGCGAGGCAGTCAACATCTCGGCAGACCGCCACCACCACCACCACCACCACCACGACCACCCCCATCATCACCACCACCACCACCACCCCCACCACCACCACCACCCCCACCACCACCACCACCCCCACTGCCACCACCACCACCATCACCCCCACCACCACCACCATCACCACCACCACTACCCCCACCACCACCACCACCCCCACCACCCCCACCACCACCACCACCACCACCGCCCTCACCACCACCACCACCACCGCCGCTCACCGGGACGCTTGCCGGCGGCGCTCCAAATGCCCCACGCGGTGCCCAGCAGGAAGGGCGCCAGAAACGCCGCCGCCACCATCAGCGTCACCATCAGCGTCAACATCAAGCGCACGGAGGAGGTGGTGGTGGTGGTGGGGGTGGTGGTGGTGGTGGGGGTGGTGGTGGTGGGAGTGGGGGTGGTGGTGGGAGTGGTGGTGGTGTTGGTGGTGAGTGGGGGTGGTGGTGGTGGTGTTGGTGGTGTTGACTATGAGAGCGGGAAGACACGGGGAGATACGGGGAGTTACGGGGAGACAGAGAGAGACAGAAACACGGAGAGACAGAGACACAGACAGAGAGACAGAGAGACAGACAGAGAGACAGAGACACAGACAGAGAGACAGAGACACAGACAGACAAAAAGAGACAGAGACACAGACAGAGAGAGAGACAGAGGCAGACAGAGAGACAGAGACAGTCTGTGTATATCTGTGTGTGTGTGTCTGTGTGTATCTGTGTGTGTGTCTGTGTGTATCTGAGTGTGTCTGTGTCTATCTGTGTGTCTGTGTCTATCTGTGTGTGTCTGTGTCTGTGTGTATCTGTGTGTATCTGTGTGTGTGTGTCTGTGTATATCTGTGTGTGTGTCTGTGTGTGTCTGTGTGTCTGTGTCTGTGTATATCTGTGTGTGTGTCTGTGTGTGTCTGTGTGTCTGTGTCTGTGTATATCTGTGTGTGTGTCTGTGTGTGTCTGTGTGTCTGTGTCTGTGTATATCTGTGTGTGAGTCTGTGTATATCTGTGTGTGTATCTGTGTATATCTGTGTGTCTGTGTGTGTCTGTGTGTATCTGTGTGTGTGTGTATCTGTGTGTGTCTGTGTCTGCGTGTATCTGTGTGTGTGTGTCGGTATATATCTGTGTGTGTCTGTGTCTGTGTGTATCTGTGTGTGTGTGTGTCTGTGTGTATCTGTCTGTGTGTGTGTGTCTGTGTATATCTGTGTGTGTGTGTCTGTGTATATCTGTGTGTGTGTCTGTGTATATCTGTGTGTGTCTGTGTCTGTGTGTATCTGTGTGTGTACGTGTCTTGTAATTACCAACACGGTGTTCCGGCATCAGCGCATCCACACAACATCATGGATGCATGCCGGGTCCAAGCAAGAACATCTGCTGGACTACATAGTGACGGACCAGCGGATACGAGCCCATGTCCTTGACACCAGGACTTACCGTGGAGATGATCTGCCCTCTGACCATCGACTAGTCATCTGTAAGATGCGCCTGCCATTCTTCCACTCCGGTGGAGGGTGTACACCCAGGACCCCATTCCAACCTAAAGTGGCCTGGTCTCAGTTATCTGATGAAAGTTGCAAGCGAGAATTTCATCATCGCTTGCGGCTGGGATTGACAACGTCCCCGACTCCTCCTGATGTCGAGGGTAAATGGGCGAGGTTTAGGACTGTGACTCATGCAGCTGCAATGGCTGCTTTGGGTACGCGGTCCAGACCTCCCCAGAGACCCTGGCTGACAGAGGAGGTGTTCAGGATGGTTGAGAAAAAGCGACAGGCCCATTGTCATCGGCTACAGAATCCCACGTCAGAGAATGAGGAGGCTTACCGCAGCCTTCGCTCGGAGGTTCGGAAAGCCGTGAGGCGCTGCAAGGATGGGTGGTGGTCACGGGTTGCTGAGGAGATGGAGTCTGCCTCAGTGGCCCGTGATCACAAATCTCTATTTAACTCCATCAAAAAAGTAATCTGCAGTGCCACACCTATTACCATCATTAGGGGAAAAAACGATGACGCAATCTCCGACCCCCAGGAACAGGTTTGCAGATTTGCTGAGCATTTCTGTGAGGTCCTGGGGGAGGGAAAATCCCTCAGCCAGGAAAACATCGTGGCACAAAGTGAGGATGACCCTGCTGAGGCTGCGGTGCCTCAAGTATTGAAAGAAGTCACCCCCTGTGAGTGGCTGGCTGAGGTGCCATCTGTTGAGGAAGTACTGAAGGCGATCCGGAGTCTGAGACCAGGAAAGGCAGCGGGCAGAGATGATCTCCCAAGCGAAATGCTGAGGGAGGGCGGCGTTTGTGCACAGACTGCCCTATATGACATCATAAGAACAGTCTGGACCACTGGACGGGTTCCGCAGGATTGGAAGGATGCCCTGGTGGTCCCCCTTTTTAAGAAGGGGGACCGCACAGACTGTAATAACTACAGGGGCATCTCACTCCTCAGTGTGCCGGGAAAGGTCCTGGCAAGGATTATTCAACATCGCCTTGCCAGGCACGCTGAGGAGAGGCTTGCGGAGCCCAAATGCGGTTTCAGGAAAGGGCGGTCCTGCACAGATGCCATATTTTCTGTCCGTCTGCTACAGCAGAGGTGTAGGGAATTCCAACAAGACCTACATCTCTGCTTTATTGACCTGGTCAAGGCCAATGATACCATCAGTAGGCCTGGGCTCTGCGTTGTTCTTCGTGCTTTTGGAGTACCTGACCCTCTGCTCACGATCATTAAGGACCTTCATGATGGTGAGCGGGCCCGGGTAAAACTACGTGGCCGGGAGTCAGAGCCATTCCCTGTACACCTTGGGGTGCGACAGGGATGTCCTCTGGCTCCCACATTATTTAACATCTATTTTGACCACGTAGTTCGTGAAGCCTTCAATAGCTGTACCGGGGGAATCTCCATATGGTCCAGATATAATGGGAGGCTGATCGACGCCCGGGTGCGGTCAAGGGATGGCTCCCTATTGCTCAACCACGTTATGTATGCTGATGATTTGGTAATAGCTGCTCATTCAGAGGAGGAGTTGGAGACGCTGCGGCTGAGACTGGAGCTTACCACTAAGAGGTGGGGCCTTACCATCAGCCCCACCAAAACTAAGCACCTGCCTGGGTATTTTGTACCATCGGACACTCCACCCCCACAACTCCCAATCGGTGATGGGGCAGTTGTGGAGAGAGTGGAGAGTTTCCCATACCTGGGCAGTGTGCTTATGACTGGCTCCAGTTTAACAGCAGAGGTCTCACTCCGAATCAGTCGAGCGACAATCTTTTCATCGGTTGCGTAACTCTGTGTGGAAGCTACCTGGTCTGTCGCTCCGCACTAAGCTTCAGGTCTTCTCAGCCACGGTCATTCCCTCCCTTCTCTACGCTTGCGAAACGTGGACCCCCCTTAATGGAACATCTTCGCCGGTTGGAAACATTTAGGCTGGCCTGCCTACGATCCATCCTGGGTTTAACCAGACTGGATTGTGTGAGGAGCTCACAAATCCTTGAAAGATCTGGGCAAGGTCCCATCGGTGAGCTCCTCCGGCGGGGAAGGCTGCGATGGCTGGGTCATGTAGCCCGCATGCCCAGCCACCGCATGCCGAAACAGCTTTTGTTCGGCCGGATAGAGGGGGCTAAGCGGGCGCGGCACGGGCTAGAGAAGAGATGGAGTGATGTGGTACAGGAGGACGTGGAGCTGAGTGGACTTGCCGATGACTGGTACTAGCGGTGTCAAGATCGGCCTCTGTGGAGGAGGCTCGTGAAGGACGCTACTGGGCAGTTGGAGGCAGTCGCCCTCCAACAACAACGGAGGGCGGAGGAGCAACGCTCACAACAACGAGCGGAGCGCCGGGTGGCTAAAGCACAGCAGGTTGGCACAGTAGGGGGCACAGGTGGTGCATCAGCCAGTCATCTCAGTCAGTCGACCCGTGGCACCTGGGTCTGCCCAGTGACCTCCTGCCAGCGGGCGTTCGACACTTCACGTGGCCTCACGGTGCACATAGCCTGGCACAAGCGTCGTGGTGACGTCACCGCCACTTAGTGGCGAATGGCGGTTGTTGTTGTGTGTTTCTGTGTCTGTGTGTGTGTCTGTGTGTGTCTGTGTGTGTGTGTATCTGTGTGTCTGTGTGTATGTGTGTCTGTGTGTCTGTGTGTATTTTTTATAGTGGGGAGCGGTAGTGTAGCGGTTAGCGCGCTGCGCTATGAACCTGGCGACCCGGGTTCGATTCCCGCTCACGGCCAACACCAGTGACGATTATCTGAACCGGTCCCGGGCCTCCCCTAGGTCGACTCAGCCTCAAATGAGTACCTGGTGCGGTGTGTAAACATTGCCACTAGGGAGACAAAGGCGGTCGGGCGTGGTGCTGGCCACCCACCCCCTCGTGTACCGATCCGGCCTTCATTGGTGCTCGCTAACAGCACTTGCCCCTACAGTCTGTTAAGGCTATACGGGGGATCTTTGTCTTTATCTTTGTCTTTTATCTGTCTGTGTGTGTATGTGTGTCTCTGTGTGTGTCTGTGTGTGTCTGTGTGTCTGTGTGTGTCTGTGTGTGTCTGTGTGTCTGTGTGTATGTGTGTGTCTGTGTGTGTCTGTGTGTGTGTCTGTGTGTGTGTATGTGTGTGTCTGTGTGTGTGTGTGTGTCTGTGTGTGTCTGTGTATGTGTGTGTCTGTGTCTCTGTGTGTGTATCTGTGTGTGTCTGTGTGTGTGTCTGTGTATCTGTCTGTGTGTGTCTGTGTGTGTCTGAGGTAGAGAGAGGTGAGGTGAGCGTCGCTTACTACTGACGGTGAGCAGGGCGTTAGCCGTGGGGGTTCCCAGGCTGAAGAGGGAGCAGCTGTAGACCCCCTGGTCCAGCGTGGAGACGCGGGAGATGGCGAGGTCCAGCCTGGTGGAGCTCCAGTGCAGCAGAGAGACACGCGGGTCCGTGTGGGCTGAGACATGGGGAGACAGAGACAGACAGAGAGACAGACA